CCTCTTACAGGTCCACGGAGGTAAGTAAGATCCAGTAGCAGCTGGATTACCCATGTGTCTCAGAGCAGTAGCAGCGGCAGAAAAAGCTGTCAATGCCTCACGAGATATTGTAGGATACAGCAATTTAACATTGTTGGTACCACATGCAGTGTTGCAACTGCTTTTAGAACAAAAAACAGCTCACATGACAGCAGCTAGATGGCTCAGATATAACACTGTTTTGTTGGAAATGCCTAATGTCACTGTTAAGAGATGTACTGTGCTTAATCCAGCAACCCTTCTGCCAACAGAGGATGACGGAGATCATCGTGACTGTGTTGCTGTTGTTAATGAAGTTTGCAGTCCAAGACCACATTTGCAGGAAACACCGCTGACCAATCCGGATCTGGAACTGTTTGTGGACGGATCTGGCACTCTAAAAAATAAACTGGCTAAATTCTGTGCTGAAACAGGATTGTCATGGGTGAAGGCGCTCCCCATTGTTTTGATACACATGAGAGCACGAGTAAGGCGAAGGGCCAACATGAGTCCTTTTGAAATTCTTTTTGGCAGACCCCTGAACACTGGTGTGGGACCATCCAGAAAGCAGAGGTCTACAATCGGCGAATGTGAAGATGAAATGTTGAATTATTGCATAAACTTGATTTCTGTGTTATCTGATGTTCACAAACAGGTGAAAGACGCGTTGCCTAAACCGAACCCTGATATACTGCACGACTTGAAACCTGGCGAGTGGGTCGTGGTAAAGGACTTCAGGAGAAAGCGTTGGAAGGCGAAGCGCTGGCTGGGACCGTTCTATTCTATTCTAACTGCAATAGAGACGAAATAACATTTCACAAAAAATCCAAATGTGTAAATAAGTAATCTGCTGTTGCGGACCCTCGTGAGGTGGGAGGAGTGTGCTATTTGGGTAATTAGGAATACCCGCACTCCAATCACCAGGAGGCATCAAGAATAGGTGAAGCATCACCAGAGAACAACAACATCTGCTACCAAAGGCCACTAAGAAAGGGTACACGGAGAAGAAACAATGAATCCATTTCTCATGCTATTGCTAGGGCTCGCCTTGAGCCTAATGAGTGGTAATACACACCCACATGACAATGTGTTTTGGCAATTTGCTAACTGGACCGCCAGACAATACACTAATGAATCATGCTATGTATGTCATGCAATGCCTACAGCCGCAGGCACTTACTCGCTTCGCCCTTCTGCAGATGCGGAAAATGTGGTGCTGATGGAAGTTACGAGAGTGTGTGTGTCGCTGCGCAATGCCTTGCTGAGAATGCTACTTCCCTATACTCTAATCTGACCCATTTCAGATCCAACTAAAACTGAATATGATCCTTAATTAACTGACACTGACAGCGCTGTCTAAGTCATATGATCTTATAAGTAATTATGCTTAGCTAGTCTCACTCACTTCCTCAAGCAAACACATAGAGGTCTATCCCTCGCAAAAACATCAGTTTCTGACTTCGCTTATGGTTTGCGCTTAATTTTTGTGTTTCATGTAACCATGATGAACCAGCAGGACGAGTATGTTTTGATGTACTGTTCTGAAACACACATTGCCTATACGATGTATGCATGCTTGATTGTGTAAGATAACATTTTCCTATGTACTTGTCCTATAAGGACAAAAGGAGGGACATGTAGTGGAACATTTTATTTGCATGTATCATTCGTTTTTATGTTTCGACAAGTTGCGAGAGAACAGAAGAACATGCCAATGAGGTATGACCAGTAAAATTAGAGCAGAAACACCTAACCGTGATAGGCAGAATTAGAACCTTGTGTAATTGTGTTCATGAAAGGTAACAGAATGCTCTAAAGAGATGTAAGACAATGTATAAAAGGGAGCACCAGAAAGGGGAAGCATCTCTTCTGGGTGCATGATTTTTGTAATGCATACTGAAGACATCTTGCTGCAGCAATAAATTTTATACTCTTGCTTCTTCTGCTCAACCTTGTCTGCTGAATTTATTTACCTCTATTTCTAGATTTCCACGACAATACCAAAGTGTAAGGGTTAGTTACAGATTACAGGTTTATTGAATCTGATTCTATATAAAGACTAACTGGGAAACAGGTTGCAAAACACACATGGTTAGAAGAAATGAAGAAACAAAAAACCCCTACATGTTCAAGGCTAAAAATGACCACTGTGTTGTGTAACACTCAAGAAAGGAACATGACTGATACTGGTGTTCATGATAACGCTGAGAACCGAACACCTGCCAGGTAGAGTATAAGAGCTCTGACTACAGAAGAGCCGCGAGTGGAATTATCAGTAAAAGGGATCATGAGGGTCTGCTTGGTACTTTTTACTGTTTTTGTGGCAGCATATTGCCAGAAGGTCTTCACTGGGTGAGTTTGATTAATATTTTCTAAAAAAAAAAAAAAAAAAAGTGCAGGATTGATTATAAACAAATACTTCTGTAAATCGTTACTAATATTTGTGTCACACAGAACAGGTTACTGATCTTAGCCATCGTTTTATATTTACAGGGTTTTTTTTTACATATAAAAAGAGTAAATGTGCACAAGTCAGTTTTTGTTAAAACAATGTTGCAATATTTACTGTCTGGACTTATATATCCTTCTTCCATTGTGTGATTAAGAACAAGCTCGACAATGTCACTTGCTATTTTGAAATGTGTATTCTTCCCCAACAGAGACCAGGTTCTTCGAGTTAATGCAAAATCTGAGGAGCAGATCCAGCTCTTGAAGGTGCTGGAGAACAGAGAAGTGTTAGAGGTATGGCAGCCTTAAACACATCTGTGCTCTTTTGGTTAGCTTTGTATACTAATTTTATAACATCTTGAAACAGCTCCAGTGCTATGAAGCTAGTCAAATAGACATTAGACAGTACTTCATTCAAAAAACACCCTGGGGTACAGACTGCATGTGAGCTGTTTAAGGATTGTCACTTTGGATATTGTAGTGTAAAGGAATAAGTCTTCTACAAACTTAGTGAAAAAGGTGAAGGTCTTTTATATATAAATGCGTATACACTATATGGTCAAAAGTTTGTGGACACCTGACCATCACACTTGTGCTTTTGAACATCCCATTCCAGATTTATTCCCCCTTTGGTGTTATAATAAGCTCCACTCTTCTGGGAAGCTTTCCACTAGATTTTGGAGCGTGGCTGTCGGGATTTGTGTTCATTCAGCTACAAGAGCATTAGTGAGGTCAGGCGCTGATGTTGGTGAGGAGGTCTGGGGTGCAGTCGCTGTTCCAGTTCATCCCAAAGGTGTTCAGTGGGGTTGAGGTCAGGGCTCTGTGCAGGACACTCGAGTTCTTCCACTGCAACCTTCACACACCATGTCTTCATGGAGCTCGCTTTGTGCACAGGGGCGTCGTCATGCTGGAACAGGTTTGAGCCTCTTAGTTCCAGTGAAGGGAAATTGTAATGCTACAGGATACAAAGACATCCTATACAACAGTATGCTTCAACTGTGTACTTTGTGGCAACATGTACATGTACTTATGTACTTTAAAGGTACACTATACCCAAGTTTCCAGGAGAAAGATGTGTAATAAAGTTAGAAAAGATGTACCCTTGAGGGTACCACGTCAGGTATTTTTCCCCCCGTTTCCCTGAGAGTGTTTGTTTGAATGTGAAGCCAGAATTGAGGAACTTTCTTTGTGACTTGGATGATTTGCTGTAACATCTTATCAGGCATACAGCGTGGGAAAGAGCAAGCTGAGTTGTTTCGCACTGATATCACACCAGTTGTACATTTTGAGGGAAAAAATCGTAATATTTGATATTATGAAACACGTTGCACTACTTTGAGAATAAAGTCATAATACTATGACCATGGTACATATGACGTTTGCGTTAAAATGAGGAACGTTGTGGATTTGGGGAGGTTATTGTTTCTTTTGGTGAAGGAGAACTCGCAGGCAGTGGTCACCTTCAAGGTTAGCGATAGTACGTCAGTGTGTGCTATTGAAAGTCCCAGGCAATCAGGCAATCGGATTGCGGCGTTTACATGAATCAATACTAAGATTAATATCGGAATATTGATGTGCTTGTAAATGTAGTCAGTGTAATTTCCTACAGGAGTCAGACAATAACAGAAAACTTTTTAAATACTAATAATTTTGCAGCTTTCCGTCTCACTTGCCGCTTTCTGCTTTGCTCTGCCCACTGCACAGAGAGAGAAATGTATTATTGGCATACAGGGAAAACAAGTTTCAGGTGTGCCATGCTAGTCACTACCTGTGTAGCTCATCCCCCAGATGCTCCAGATGTATGCAAGTTACAGTATATGCAAGTGAAGGTGCAGTTTGACATTGCATCGCTGTGACATCAGGCTAATATGTGAAAAATTAACACGTGAACATAAAGGAATCATTAAAAAAAAACTGTGGGACAACAAAAACATGCACTACGTCTGATTCATTACATGTGGTGTATCTAAAAACCCACATGAGTCATGTGATTATTCACTTGGTGTGAATTTTCTGTTAAATTCCCTAACCTGCTACAATGATTGAACAGAAATTGATCGGATATGAAGAATAAACTATTGTCTCCATTTAGCTGGACTTCTGGACTCATCCTGTGTCCACTGACCTTCCGGTTGACATCCATGTGCCGTATGCTAGTCTGTATCCTGTCCAGAAATTCCTTCAGGATAATGAGATCCCGTTCCATGTTATGATCAAGGATTTGCAGGTGAGAACGACATAATACCCTGGATATAAACAATAATAATAATAATAAACTTCCAATAAAGATACTCATTGCAATAAAGCTAATTTATTGTCAATGTCCTGATTCTGTTGTGCAACAGGAACTCCTGGATAAAGAGCAGCAAGATGTACAGCGCAATGCCATGAAGGTTGGTGATGCAAAGAGCTTCAACTATGCAACATACCACGGGCTTGATACAGTGAGTACGCCTGTCTACCACTCGTAGATACACACTTATACACCGTTACACCGCAGTGCTGTTAAATTCTCAATTCTGATTGGTTAAAAGGCAGTGGTGGCTCAGTGGTTAAAGCCCTGGGTTACTGATCAGAATGTCAGGGGTTCAAGCCCTAGTACTGCCAAGCTGCCACTGTTGGGCCCTTGAGCAAGGCCCTTAACCCTCTCTGCTCCAGGGGAGCTGTGTCATGGCTGACCCCTGTGCTCTGACCCCAGCTTCCTAACAAGCTGGGATATGCGAAGAGAAGAATTTCACTGTGCTGTACTGTATATGTGACAAATAAAGGCTTCTTCTTCTTCTAAAGGTGTTGATTCATTTTGTATAAGTGCTAAACAAATCACAGATTTATATTAGTGCACTTAATACGTTATTGTTTCTATAGCAACAACTTGCACAGGGACTTTTTTGGTGGAAGTGCATGTACAGTTCTTCATGTGGTAAAGTTTTCTGTAAGGATACATTTGGCATTATTGGAAGGAGTCTCCAGTGTCAATGCAGTAAATCCATTCCTTTAAGGTTTCTGACACGCGAAAGTCTTCAGGACAGAGGACTTTGCGCTTTGCACTGTCTTGGTAAAATGATAAGCTGCATTTTTTTTTGTCATGTTAACTTCAAGTGAGAGAAAGAGAAGCGAGGGAGTGACTGATTATAGCTGTAATCTAAGTGATAACAGGACTAACTTGTTTTACAGATAACCAGATAAATGGATTAAAAAAGTATATGTCATTCAGTAATAAATTAAAAATAACAACTGTTGGTAAATTGCTGTGGAATAAAGCAGAAATAAGAAGAATACAGAACTTTGGGATGCTTCATGTCGAGCCGCTGATTATTTTCCTATAACAGCACTCCCTCGAGTGTTTTATTTCTTACTTATCAAATCATGGGTAGTGAATGAATGAGTAATACAATCTTTATGCATGCAGATCTACAGTTGGATGGACAGCATGGTGGCCAGTCATCCCAATTTGATTTCCAAAGTGCAGATTGGACATTCTTATGAGAACCGTCCCATGTATGTGCTAAAGGTGAGGATAAAAATTAATAGCCAGGTGTGAATGTATATCATAATGTCTAAAAAAAAAAAAAAAATGCTTGAGTGTCTTGGGAATGTGTTATTGAATAAGTCACTCTGGATATGCTTTTAGTTTAGCACCGGTGGAAGCAACAGGCCTGCAATCTGGATTGATGCTGGAATACACTCTAGGGAGTGGATCTCAACTGCCTCCGCTTTGTGGATGGCTAACAAGGTGAGCGACTCAATGAGAGTCCAAATAATACTGTTTATGACTAGATTGTTAATTCTTAAAAATATTTTTATTTTTAAAGGCTACTTAGACCCAATTTCAATGTATTGATACAAGTATTTTGTATATTTCTCTCTATATTCATTAGATGGCTACAGATTATGGTGTTGATGCTTCTGTGACTTCTCTCCTGGGAAAAATGGACATCTATCTGATGATCGTGACCAACCCTGATGGCTACGCCTACACTCATACATCTGTAAGCCTATGATTTGTGAAACCGCAGATGAAATTGTCACTACAATTAGTTACATTGTACATTTTGCAGATGATTTAAGCCGAAACAGTTTACAAATCCAATTCCAAACACATACCGTATCTGAGGAGTCGATAGTTTATGGCGTTGGTTCAAGCAGGGGTGCATCCAAGGACCCGTCTGTAAATAGTAAAACTATTTCCAAGGACTGCCATTTCAATACAGCACCCATTTAATTTAACAAGAACAGAGTAAATATATATGTACGACAATATTCAACACCTCAGAGCTTCAAATTTAGGCCTCAGCATGTTTAATTGTTAGACTATTGATGTATTAAAATACACTATTGGACTGTTTTTGTTACTAATTTCTTTCTCTTCTTAATTTTGTCCTAAGCATCTATGGTTTTGTGCTTGGTTTTATCCATCAACGGCCACAGTCTCAGCAACATAACAAGCTGCATTTTTTTTTTTGCCTTGTATTAAATTCGAGAGAGAAAAAAGAGATGCTAGTGATAGCTGCTGTAATGCAAGTCAAAACATTAACTTGTTTTGCAGACGTTCCACAACGTTAAACATAACTAAAGAGTGTCATTCTTTCATTAATAAAAAATTGCAATCATTGGCAAATAAGAGGAATAAAATACTTTGACATTCTGTTTATAGAAAAAATCATCAACTTCTAGTTGGTAATTGTGACTCCGCTTCATCACACCACCCTGATTCCTTATTTAGCTTTGCACAGCTCCAGGATTCCCAGTTAAGTCCTAAGTTCAGCTTTCTATCTGGGTGGAGTTTTGCATGTTCTCCTTGTCTGTGTGGGTTTGCGCCCTGTTCTCCGGCTTCCTCCAACCTCCCAAAAACATGCCAGTTGGAGGATTGGCTGCTCTTAGGTGTGAATATGTGTGTATTGCGGCTGGCATCCCGTGAAAGGTGTTTTTGCTGAAGATGGATGAATGAATGAATCTATACAATACAGTATACAGAAAAAAGACTGATATATTTGCGAGGTGCCTTTTGAGTTTTTTTTCTTCATCTTCCAAAACCACTTACTGGATCCCGAGTCTACCCCTGGAACACTGGGCATGAGGCAGGCGTATGCCAGTCCATCACCATGCATGTACACATGCATACACCCGACTTACATCTCAGAGCAACTTAGCGTAACCAATCCACCTACCTGCATGTTATTGCGAGGCAACCCATGCAACCCAGAATACTGTGAAAAAGACGGATAGTGACCCGAGCTCAGGATCAAACTGGGAACCCTGGAGCTGTGAGGCAGCAACACTACCTGCTGCACCACTGTGTTGTCTGCCATTGAATAACCTTTCAATAATGAGCTAGGTTCCTGAAGCAGGGTGGATAGAAAATGTGATGCTGATCTTATGGAATTTTTTATTAAAAGAAAAAAAATGTTTTTAGAACCGCATGTGGCGCAAGACTCGCTCCGTCAACCCTGGTTCCACGTGCCGAGGTGTCGACCCCAACAGAAACTGGAATGCTGGCTTTGGTGGTAAGAAGAGAATCCTAATCGCTTGCAATAGCTGTAAAGATATTTATCCATGAGACTTCAATCTATGTTTCTGCATTGCTCTCTGCAGGTCCTGGTTCCAGTAACAACCCGTGCTCTGAGTCCTACCATGGACCTTCCGCACACTCTGAGATCGAAGTGAAGAATATCGTGAACCTCATCAAGAATCACGGCAACTTCAAGTCCTTCATCTCCATCCATGCCTACTCACAGCTCCTCATGTACCCGTATGGATACATCTGCAACGACATCCCCGACAAGGCTGAACTCGTACGCTGTTTCATTCTTTTGTTGAATTCTCATTCCTGATTGTTTAGAAGGTGTTGATTGATTTTCTCTAACAGCAGCTCTGACAGTAGTGTCATCTGCAAGGCAAATCACTGGTTTAGATCAATGTGGTTGTTCTGACATGCATCTTGTATGGCAGACTCTTCACATTGATAAGTTATCAGATATTCACTTAGCATTTATGGAAGGAGTCTCCAGTTTGGCATTTTGTAACAGTCACAAAGTTTTCTGACACAAAGTCTTCAGGACGGAGAGTATTTTTTTTGCTTTCCAGTTTCTCGGTAACATGACAATGTGCATTTTTTTTTTGTCTTGTATTAAATTCAAGAGAGTTAAAAAAAAAGAGCGGCCGGTGAGCTATACTGTTTATAGCTACTGTAATGTAACTCATAACATTAACTTGTTTTTTGCAGACGTTAAACATAACTATAAACGGACAAAGTGCTGTTCTTTTATTAATTAAATTTGTAATAATTGGCAAATAAGAAGAATAAAACACTTTGTGACATTTGTTATAGGAAAAACCAGCAACTTCCAGGTGGTAACTGTGAATCCGCTTCATCGCACCACCCAGTGATTATTTTCTTAGAATTGCATGTCCCCAAGTGATTGATTCCTTATTTAGCTTTTCTGTAAAATCGCTAGCAGAATTTAGCCCAGCCAATACACTCATGTTCAGGATGAATGGTGTATTATAGCAGGCCAGACACCCTAGTTGGTCAGCATGATGATAAAACCGCCTGATCTGTTTTGTTTTGGTGATTATTAGGATTCTGTGGGTCAACGTGCAGTGCAGGCCCTCAGCTCTTTGTACGGCACCAGCTACAGAGTTGGAAGCATTTGCAAAATCATCTGTAAGTCTACACAACCTTCATTCTTTCTTTTTGTTATCTCTACCAGTTTCTCTCATGTTTATGTGTTGTATTCTTATCACTTCAGATCAAGCCAGTGGTGGAAGCATTGACTGGAGTTACAACAATGGTGTCAAATACTCCTTTGCCTTTGAGCTGCGTGACACCGGTCGCTATGGCTTCCTCCTCCCGGCCAATCAGATCATTCCAACTGCGAGTGAGACCTGGCTGGCTCTTAAATACATCATGGAATATGTGCGTGACCATCCTTATTAGGAAAATAATTAATGTGAAACTGAAAATAAAGATCAGATCTCTTGAGTTTTTACAGGAAAAATGGGATGTTGGTCAAATAAATACAAGCAAATGTGAAATACTATTTAGCGTGTTGTGTCGTGCTGTTTAACAGTTTCTCCTATAGCCTGACGTTGACTCTGGTTAACCTGGTTTTAAATATTGTCACACAAAAAACATTGCTCAGATATAACCTAACATCAGTGAAAAACCAATGCAACTCATGATTTATATCCAAATTTGAAAGCCTCTTAGCATCTTAGCATATTACTAGTTGTAATTCTATAGTTTTGCCAGAATATTGTTTCTGCATTTAATATAAATGTTATTATACAGGATGGAATCTGTCCCTTTTTTAAAACAAAAAAAGAAAAACAAGAAGAGTTTAACAACCCGTCCCTAAGCATTTTACTATCATTTGTCAGTATTAACTGCAAACTATCAATGAAAACGTGACAAAGTAGCACAATCACTCCAGTAAAACATCTGTCTTTTTTTTTTTTTAGTAGCCAATGGTGTTTGAGTGGTTTTATGACATGTTATAAAGGTAACGAAAAATTGTGTTAAAATTCAGAATGCCAACAATCACCACTGCAATCTCAAAACCATGAAGTAATTAGGAGCCAGTTTTTACTCAATTCTGAGTCAAGG